AAAGTTTATACATTTTAGCAATAAGATGTTCATCATTAATACACAAGGCATATTCAAACTCTGTTTTCTCAGTGGTAAATTCATAACTTTTCTTATCTAATTTAAATCTTTCTAGCAACTGTGCATATGTGAACCATTGGCAAACACAACCTCCAGTTCTAATTCTTCTCTCTTCTTCAGGTTAGGTTCTCCTTCAGAAAACAATAACAAAGTTGCATATGTCTACCATGATTGCTTAAGCATCATTTCTCTTCTGTAAAAGGCTTCTCGGGGTGACAACCACAGAGGAATTTTTGGAGACAATCTTACCTTGTATCTACTTCAGACTCTCAATATAGTACTGTATGTCTGATGAAGTAATTCTTAAAATCAATATTAACTTTCACTTTGTCATACCATAAATATCCATGCCATCCAAATCTTAACTCATGTCCTTCTAATTCCAGTAACCTCTTGTTTTGTAAAGTCACCTATTCTTTCATCCATACCAAACAGCAAGCATCGAGATATAACTTTAAATCTGGAAGACCTAACCCACCTCTTTCTTTGGCATCCTATAAAAGTTTATATTTTATTATTGGTTTTTTACCTTCCCATACAAATTTAGAAATATCTTTCTGCCATTGTTTAAATGGTACATCATTTGTCAATCAGTATTGTCTGAAAGAGAAAAAGCTCTTGCATGTAAATAATGTCTTGTTTTAATCTTTTCAGATAATTAATTTTTTTTCTTTTGAGGATCATTTGCTCTATTTATATTCCATGTTAAACATTTGTAATCCATAATCAGGCCAAACATTTAGAAAAGTCAATACCTGTAGCACCTAGTTCAGTATCATCTTTTTCTAATTCCTGTTGCATCTGTTGTGATTTTTGTGTAGTTTCCTCTGAGAGCTCCATTTGCATCTCCTCCAGTTCTCCTTTATATCTTTCTAAAAATTCTCTTGCCTTCTGAACAGAATTCAGTCTAAATCACTGTTATTTAAAAGTAAAAATGACACCTTCCAATCTATCCCATTAAAATGGGATCTTTTTCTGTTTTAGTTCTTCAGCCAAGAAGATGTATACTTTTCTCTTACATAAAATTCTGATAGGAATCTCTTTCAAAACAATTATATCTGTATTATCCATTTTCAATCTTGTATTAAAATGCTACTGCAGGACTTGATCCCTTGTCTTCTTTCGAACAAAATGTGCCAAAATATCCCTTGGGACATTTCTTGTTCTGGCATATCTGGAATTTATTCTATAGCCTTTATCCATTTCTGTCACCATATCTTCCTCCTCCCAATCCAGAAAATTTACCAAGGGTTTAATAATCCATTCTCTAACATCTTCATATGAAACCTCTGGAACAGCTCTGAATCTCAAACAAAATTCTTTCTCTTTCATTTCCAATAAAGCCAGATAATCTAATTCTCTTTCCAACTCTCTACTATCTTGCTGTCTAAAATTTCTACTTTTTCATTGATTTGTTTTACCTCTCCAGATACTTGCTTTACAGAACTTTAGAAGAGAATATGTGTAGCTCAGGGTTGAACTATGGAATCCTTGGGGTTCTCTGAGCTTGGTTGTTTTCTTGCAAAAGTTTCATTACCTGGCTAGATAACAAGCACTGAAGATGTTATCCAGTCGAGTAATGAAATGTTTGCAAGAAAACAACCAAGCTTATAGAACTTTCCATCTTTTTAATATCTTCTTTCATCTCCTCTCTTAACTTTATAAATCTTTCATCCATTCTTTTTTCAAAAGCTTCCTATTTATTTCCCATCTGTTCAAATAATTTCTGAAGCCTCTCTGGTATAACTATTTTTTCTGCAATGAGCCCCTCCTGCTCTCTCTTGTTATTTTTCTAGTAGCTGCCATTATATATTATGATCCAAAAGTGAAAGTGTCTCAAGCAAACAAAAATAAAAGATGAGCCTCTCCTTTTTTCCCCCCTGCAGCTTTAGCACTTCTGTTTTAGTAGTTCTCTGTGATTTCAAGCTGTGGAATCAAACATAGGGCCGAAAAACAAAATAACCAAGGCTTCACTGCGGTGTTTATTAAACAGTACGTACTGGGGGGGACCCCACCAAAGGATAGTGAGAGACACCCCTGCAGACAAAGATGCACTGATATTTAAACATTTCAGGAAAGGAGAAAGGAAAAGGATGCATACATACATATTCATATGATGATGCAGGCATACATAAGTAAATAATAGATCTCAAGTTACTTTCTGCCCATCTATTTATCTACTATCTACAAGGAAACCAATAGCCTTACTGAGAAGAAGAAACAAATTCATTCAAGATGCCAAATGCCAGGAAGAACACATCCTCCTTCAAGGCAGATGCCTTGGTTGCTATGGGAGTGCTGTGATAAGGTCTTTACAACCAGCCTAGTTCACACCAGCTTCAAGGTTGCTGCACATTCTTTTATGTTTCAATTTAATTTAGGCACTCCCATTCATCTGAAGACTCTAAAAACTTACTTTCTTCACTTAAAAATGTGTTTTTCTCACAGATTTCCCCGTTTTGCCATCTTGAAGGGCAAAATTCAGGTCAGACAGAACTGGATTTTCAGCCTTACACATTTCTGGAAACAATTGCCATAAAGATCTATTAAACATTGTCCAATGCATAATAAAATAAGAACAGCCAGAAGAGCGAGGATCCTAAAGCCACATTTCACAACCAACCCGTCCCAGGCAACTAAGAGGTAAGCCAGTTCCAGAAAGTGCTGGGGCCTTGTTCGGTAACCCACTTTGCCAGATCTCTTAAATTTTGCACAGTGGCTTTACTCATAAGGAATTGCCAGTCAGGTTAAAGCAGCACATACCTGGAAATTCCTCACACGCCCGTGGGCTATTTTGAATAACATAAAGTCAATGGCCAATCTATTTTGCAAGATTGCTGTTCTTAGCTGTTCCTGCTCTTTGTTCAGGAGAGCTATAGCATTTGAAGACTTGTTTATGCTCTTTATAAGTAAACAAGCCAATTTTCTGAGATGAAGATAGCATGGGTTGCTAAAGCTGGTGTGCCAAGTATGGAGATAGCAAGCCCATAAACATCTCTGGTATTTAACAGCCCTATTGGTCATCACAGACACAATGATGCATCACACTCATCTGGGTTTGTGATGAGTGTAATTTTGGACAAGTAGTACTGCATGAAATGAAGTTAAACACCCAATTGCACAGGGCCCTCCCAAGGAATGTGCTTGGTATGAAAAGTGATAATTTCCACACAACAGATACCGGTCCTTTGGTAAGTAGCAGTGAATTTTTACAGAGCCAAGCTCTATTACCTTTGAGTGCTTTTCAAGTGGTGGTAGGAAAAGGCATGTCTTTTTGCCATCACAGCCAAACACTCGCACACAGTTGCACCCTGGCAAATTGCCCTTCGTTTCTACTCTGTATAATGCTTGGTTGGTCCACTGGTGTTTGGTGGAGGTAGACTCAATGTATAGAAGGGTTTGCCCAAGGTAATCAAGGCTGAGTGGGTGGTGTGTTGGAATCAGCTTAATAATAGTATGGAGTTCTTCCAAAAACTGCTCAGGTACTCCTATAAAGCATGTTTTGAACACAGAATCCCAATTTATTCCCTCAAGCGCATGGAAAAGTTCACCAGGCAGGATTATGGAATGGACCAAAGTCAAATAAGAGTTATTTGTAGGCAACCAGTTCAATGGGTGTTGCATCTTACATCCTGGCAATTGCAGATAAACCAAGCTGACCATCATAAACACAAGTGTTAGCAGAGCCATTGCTTTGCTGTGAGGCAGAAAGTAAGGAAAAAGAAACAGAACAGTACAATAAAGCAATCTAAATAACTGCAGGAGCCTAAATGTCAACGTTAAACTAGCAAGAGCCTATTAAAACTTATCTTCAGAGCACTTCAGAATTTTGTAGTCAAAACTTCACCTTTCTTTTTTCTTCTGCTCATTTCCTGGGAGCCTGGAACAATGTCTTTGGGAGTGCTTGCTTCTGAGGCTGGAGTGTGCCTGAGATGACATAGGTGAACCCATGAGGTCAGACTTCAAGCTTTGCATTGCTGTGAGCTACCAATAACACTTGGTATAGGCCTTTCCACCTTGGGAAGAGACAGTCTTTCCTCTGATGCACTTTTCGATATAGCCAATCTCCTGCTTGCAATTGGTCAAATGGTTTGGTTTCATATAGCCTGTTCCAGTTATGATGTCTGACTCGCTCTTGGGTTTGGCGCTGCTCCTGTTGAAAAGATTGTATAGCACGTAAGTAATTTGACCATGAGTCAGGATGAACACCTTCTAGAAGAAAGAAGAAAACCTTTATTCTTTATTTCCAAAGAATAAAGATTCTGCAGACTTTTTTAGATCATTAGAGAAACCCACCAGCACATGGGTCAACTCAAGACCTCTACTGACAGAATGCACCAAAAGTTGTAACCGGAGGATTCAGTATCTTATATGTTTATACAGACATCGTAAACCCACAGATAGTGGGTGACTTCTTTGTACCACTACTGCATTGTGTGCCTATGCGGGGGCAAGACAACAGTTTTATTATGGTGACCTACGATCAATCACATTACGTTTCAGTCAGTAAGCGTTACATTGACACCATTACTGTAGAAATCAAAACCAATCAAAACAAAAACGTCCACTTTTATCACAGGAAGGTGGTTGTGAAGCTTCATTTTAGGCCTCAGAAAAGCGAAGGATGGTTGTGATCAAGGAGCACAGGAGCCCCCAAGACTATGTGGCCTACTACATGGTGCAAGCCGGTCACGGCCTTGCAGGCTTCCGAGGAACCCATCATGTATGGGACAGGTTTAGGGAGGGTGTCTGTGGACTTTTTCAAAAAGCAATGCCATTTCTGAGGAAAGGATTAGAAATCATTAAACCACACGTGAAATCTGCAGCCGAGAACATTGTCAGAGATGTGGTGGAGCAGCTTGTATCCTGTGTTGTTGAGGGTGGACAGGGGGGTTCAGGTATGGTTGTGGCCAGGAAGAATTACGCAATGGGGCTACTTAATTCCATTTAAAAAGAACGATTATGGGGGAAAAAACAGCATACAAAGAAGAGATATGCACGGAAGAGGAAGCGCTGTGACAAACAAGACATATTCTAATACAAAATGGCATTTATCCATGAGGCTTCAGAGGAATGTATGAAATCAGAACTGGATCTTTTTCAACTGGCATCTACACAAACCAGTACTGAAAATGGCATGTACTGTATGTCAAGATCCCACCTTTATCCGCGCTGTCGCCTAACACCTCCTGGATTTTTTTTTATCACGGGTCATGGAGAACATTACACAGATTTAAACAACACCCTGCTGTATGTGAGTTGCAAGATTGTAAAGGCTGATGGTATAGATATCAGTAATGGCACAGTGGTGGCCCTGACCAACTACCCTATAGCATCACTGTTTAACCAGCTAGATGTAACCTTGGGAGATCGTCTCATTACACAGAACCATCATTGTTATTCTTACTGCGTCATCATTGAACTGATTCTGAACTTTGGTGGTGATGCCCTGGGAACCCAATTTACAGCTGGGGAGGTTTACAAAGATGACTCAACCCTCATGGAGAGCACCCTGCTGACATCTCCAGGCAACTCGGGCTTCAGAGCGAGAGCGAGATGCACAGCTGGAAGTCGTAAATGGGACCTGCTTGGACCTTTACATAGCGACCTCTTTTTTCAAGACAAGCTGCTGATTAACGGGGTTAATGTGAAAGTCAGACTCACAAGAAGCAGAAATGAATTTTGTCTGATGAAGAACAGCAATGAGAATTACAAAGTGCAACTCCTATCAGCCACTTTCTTTGTAAAACATGTAAAAGTAGCACCAGGAGAGCGCTTGGGTCATGCAGAAGCTTTGCTGTCCTCCAGTGCCAAATACCCTACTGATTGAGTGGGAATGAAGGTTTACAGCATTCCAGCAGGCAGCCTTGTGTGATCAGGAAAATCTATTTCTGGGGCAGTTACCTAAACAATTAGGGATTGGTTTTGTGGACAATGCATCCTTTAGCTGGGATTATGAAAGAAAGCCATTCAATTTTCAACACTGCAATGTCAATTTTTGTGCCCTATATTGTGATGGCGAACAGATCCCTGCAAAGCCTCTTCAGCCTGGTTATGAGCATGACATTTATGAAGAGAGTACATGCAGATGGTGCAAGCATCAGGCAAAGGTATGAAAGATAGGCCTCAGTTAATTAGCCGGGAAGAGTTTAGCCATGGTTATACTTTGTACTGCTTTGACTTGAGTCCTGATCAGGGATGACTGAGGCACTGAACTCTAGTCTTTGATCAGGAATGGTAACCTCAGAGCAGAAATTAGATTTGCACAATCCCTCCCCAAAACCATCAACATGATTCCCTATGCAATCTTTGCAAACCTTATTGAAATAAATCACACAAGGAACTGCTTTTTGATTATATGTGAGAATGGACACCCTGCAGCTCCTCCGTTTATTCTCTGGAAATATGTGCTTTCTAGGGGTCTACCCTTGTGTCCTGCTACCCAAGAGACAAATCTCCAAAAGACCTTTTGGATTAATTGTAAACACCCATCCTCAAACTCTACCTGGTGAACACTGACTAGCCATCTCCCGGATATGGTGAATGTTTTGATTCTTGTGGAAGACCGTCAGATAGCCCTGACTTTCCTGGATCCATAGTGGAGTTTTTAGAGCTGCAAGCTGAGAAGTACACATTTCACCAACTTCAACTGCAACAGCCCCACGCGGTGACCTGCGGGCAACACTGTGTGTTTTTTCTAATGAATTGGTCTAAAGGTGTGGATTATGAAAAATTTTTAAAGTGGTACTCTGAGGACAATATTAAACATGATCAAATGGTAAAGCTGTTTGTAAAAAGAATAAAGTTGGGGATGAGGCATGGCGCCTGTACCCATTACCATTGTATGCAGATGTGCCTGCCCTACTGTAAAATAAAGACAAAGATTTAAACTTGTTTGGCTTGTTTCACCGTGTTTTTATTCATTTTACAAACTGAGCCAGTCACCAAACCTGAGCATGCTTCTAGGATTTAGCATCCAAGGTCTAGAGGGGGTGCTGATAAACAGAGGCATTCGTGGCCAAAATGGGTGGTCAGAACAGAGTCTGGGATAGTTGCGGTTTCCTCCTTAGGAGCTGTAGAGTCTTTCAGTTTTTCTAACTGATCTTTAGCAGCTGTAGACCCCAGCACAGATGTAGGTACATTCAACTCCGCCATAGCTTTCATAAATTCATCCCATCCTTTGGGTTTCTGCTTCTCGGTAAGCGATCGGTGTTGTGAGGCCCCTTTCACCAAGTCTAAACTATTAGTACCAGGAACAGGCATGCCCTTGTATAAAAAGGTGCCATGATCATTCCAGGATGAGATGTTCTGATGCTGTTTCATTTTGTTCAGAAAAGCTCTGCATTTTTTCTGTAACATGTGCTCACACTGCCTAGGACCTTGTGCATTGTCACGTCCTGTGGAAATGGTTGTTCCAGCAATGTCAGAGGTGACCGAGGCTCTCCTGGGGGGTAAATGAGATTCGGCCTGTCCTTTTCAGACTCATTTTGCCTGGTCAGTCTTAGAAACCTCTGCAGCACAGAACTGTAGAGCTTAATCTTGTCATCCTCACTCAAATCAGATCTCTGAAGAATGGCGCACATCTCATCATACAGCCGGTTAGGGCCATAGCCCCCATAATAGGCATCTGCCCTGTAGTTGCT